AGTACCGTTGAGATATTTAAAATTAATTTTTTTTAAGGTGTATTCAATATCCCATGGACATCCACTATAAATATAAATATATCAAAGTCTAAGCGCGGACGCAAACCATCGTGGATATCTACTAGATGTAATTTTTGATTTTGCTTCCTAAGTATAGATGGCGATACCACTTTCGTATCTACTCATGCTTAACCCGCCGTAATTGAGTTTGATCGACATTGTTTCACAAACAGACTTCATTAGAGACTGAAGTCGAGAAGTTCAATTTATTGCTGAAGATTCCTAATAAGGATGATTTTCTCCTTAGTAGGCAAAATCAAAGGCAGATTGTTGGGAATATTTTTTACCTCTATTTTCTTTCGACGTTATTCAATAACCATTGGTTACTTATGAACCTCTACTAAAAATAATTATAAAATATTTATCTGAATTTCTATATCCTGGGATATAGACGGACATTTGGTTGGATATCCACAAAATATATTCTATGGATATATCTGGGATTTCTTGTATTGTCTGGAAATACTCATTAGATATTTTGCTGAATATCCATAGGACATCTTCTATATTCTGGATATAGACGGACATTTGGATATCCATATTAGTTCCACGGAATATTTCTGATATCCTGTGGATATATTGGATATCCACAAAATATATTCTGTGGATATCTCTGGGATTTGGTGTGTTGTCTGGGCAATGGCTTACTTTTTCATTTTGTAGTCTGTGAGTAGAATAGCTATATCCATGTGGGTGTGGAAAAAAACTATTTCTGTTTATTCCTCATAATGCAATAGTCCATTTGAATTGTTTTAACTTTAAATTAACAAATCTAATTGGTTTAATAAATCTGATTAAAATTTGTTATTCAAAATATTAAGTAAAATTTTATTTTCTGCACATAAATGTGTTGCATTATATGTATAATAAATTCAGGATGATATTAATAGGACCTTTCATTTTTAACAGACGAAAAAAGGATATCCCTTAAATTCTGTTATCAATTAATCATTAAGGTACACAGGCCCATCACCAGGGCAAGGTTTCAATTCAAAAGGAGGAAAAAGTGAAACTTGACAATAACTATTAATTATATATAAATTAATAAAAAATAAAGGTGAACTTTAACAATAAAATTATTTAGTATAGGTTTACTACAATTTATGAAAATATAGCTTAATTGATTAATCTCTTTACTACACAACTTATTAGTTATAAATCAAAAATTGAAGAATTTGTTAGTACTTGCCAACTTTAGCCAGTAAGTGAAAAGCAGCAACTCTTGAGGTTTGAAAATATCTTCTTTTGAGAATTTGCTTTCAGTTTACTGTTGCCCGCATCCCACCACGAGGAGGTAAAGCAGTGGACTAATCACCGAGGATGCTTTTTTTATTTTATTTATTCTAAAAAAGGAGCACACCTAACAAACAGTACCATCTCTACATAAAAAAATATCAAAGATTATAAATAAATTGTTAACCAAATATAGAGATAGTATTGGTAAATAAAATGAAAATAAATACAAAACGTAAACACAACAGGAGCATTCTGAAACAGAAAAATAGATTAGATTTTTGTTTTTTGCATTTATTATGTACTTTTTTTGTATTTTCTTATTTTTCATTTTTTTTTGTATTTTTGTAGTTTTAATTTTTTTTGTATTTTTGTAGTTTTTCTTTTTTTTGTATTTTTGTAGTTTTTCTGTTTTTTTTGTATTTTTAGTTTTTTTAATTTTTTTTGTGATGCCTTTCTAAAACAAAAAGTAAATAAAAATTCTATAAAAAAAAATCAGGTACATAAATTCTAAAAAGGCATCAATTTTTTATTTTTTGTTTTTCAGTCTTTTATTAATTTTGTAGTCATTACTGAATTCATTGTAATATTTACGAATGATTAAAGTTACACATATATCCAACAAATCTGAAAGAATTTTGGACCGGTGGGTTTCACAAGAAAACCAATCAAAAGAAACAATAGAAATTAGATATGACTTAATTTTAAATTTAATATCACAAACGTGTCCATATTCTTTCAGAGCTGTATAGATAATATCATACACGTCAGAAAGAAATATTACAACATTTTCAGTAACATACGTTAACCTTTGTTTATCATCATTTTCTTTAAACATGGTAAACATATGTCGTGCCTCTAATGCATCTGCCAAAAGATTGGTTCTGCAAAGATCACAGTCGACATTTTTTATTTTTTTTACAACAAATCCAGCAACATAAGTTGTGGCTTGGGAATCAAATTTATTGTCTGACAATGATAATTTGCGGTTTTTATCAATATTTAAAGTGAACATTTCATTGTACTTATACACTTTTGAAGGCTTCGGTTCCTGACTGACTAAAAATATTTCTAAATTATCTAATAAAGAGCCTTCATCTTGTTCACAATTGGCACCATAACTTTTTCTTGAAACTAAATTACTTAAGACAGATATCTTTAAATTGGATACAAATTGAAAACAATTAGGGTTAGTATTTGCAGCTCCACACTGTCTTATGGACCCAAACATATTTTCAATAGGATCTTGGTTTAAAGATCTGGGTCTTAAATATTTCATCCCCAATGAAGAACAGGTATTGAACAAATCACGAACCCCATTAATGGTTATTAACCAGCAGTTTTTAAAAGGTAAACTAGATTTTACTTTATTATTTTTCCTTACAAATTTAGGATGGAAAGACCAACTCTTTATTTTACTTTCTACTTTCTCCCAAAATTTAAAATGTGCCGATTTCTTAGAAATACACCTTCTTAATGGTTTTCCACAATCTGGAGTTGGTTTGCTTCCATTTAAACTGTCAAACAAATTATCTATGTCTTCCACAAATTCTGCAGTATCAATTGCAGATGCTGCTAGACTTCCAGGAGCAGAACCAATCATGCTTTCTATAGCTGCAGACATTGTATGGCTTAGAACTTTAGCGGCAACTGATACTTTCATTTTTAAACGGTTGTTACGGCTTACATCAAAATATTGCTCCCTGATTTTATAAAGAGTTTGAAATCTTTTTGACCGATCTAAATTATATGCTTGCTTGATAAAATCTGAATTGGCGTATTTATTTCCTTCGTACTGAATATGATAATTAAACAAAGCATTTCTGGTGCACTTAAGTAAATGGCAAACATCAAAAAGAGTTATAATTTTCTGTCCATTTAAAAAAAAATGTGGCTCTAAATTTGTTACAGTCCCACCCTTTGTTCTCAATGATCTTAAAGCTACCCTATTTTCCCCCATCAAATCACAAACAGTTGCTAAAACCTTTAAACCTATATTTTGAAGAGCCGTAATAACCTCTTTTATTAACTCAATAAGATCTTTACTATTTATAGCATGACGTGTAAAATAATATGCTATAGGCTGTTTCCAAACTCTTCTTAAACCGTGAATCATAAAAACTAAAGCATGATCGGCTACTTCTGGGCGTCTACCTAATTTTTTTCCCAAGTCAACATATCCAACAATTTTGTCATTAACTGTATCAAAAGTGAGTTTTTCGGTTAGAGCTATTTCGTCGAACATTAAAATACAATTCCTATCAATTTCTGGCATTTTTCTAACAATTTCTTTAAATCTGGAAAACACTGAATCATTTATCCCCGTTTCAAAAGGTAAATCACTTAAAATTTGTTGGATAGTAGATTTACTAGGCAACGAAATGCATTTTCTTAAAAAATTATATGCTCTTGGACCATTTTTATATAATGCTAAAGAAAAAATTTTATTCTGAGTGGTCCAAGAGGGTTTCTTTCTCTTACAATTTTCTAAACTACTTTTAAAGAATTTAATTCCAATCGGATCTAATTTATTATTAAAATCTGAAAATAACTGAGTTTTGGATAATTCAAAGGCTTTCTTGATTTTATTTTTGGAAACACGTAGAGCTTTCTTTAGCTTACAAATTCTAACGTTTTGTTCTCTATTAATAAAATACAGCTTTTTCTCTTTGGGACTTAAATTTTTGACTTTACTTTCATTTATTTGTTGCATAACAGTTTTTCTCCGTTTGGAGGGTTGTTCAAATTGTACATCACTAATATTTAGTTTACGTTTGCAACTAATTTCTTGATTTTCGTTGCTGATTAGCAAATCTATCTTATGCTGCTGTGTTTGTGCTTCAGCCTCAATATATTCTGAAATCTGACTCTCGGGTTGTATATTTGAACTGGATGCATAATTATCTAAAGAAATTGGTACAGAATGTACAACTAGTCGTTTACGTTTTGAGGAAACCTTACTAAAAGACTCTGGCAAAAAATGATCTTCACAAAGATAGCGAGTATTATTATCTAAAGTTAAATTTAAATTCTTAAACCAGTTCTGGCGAACTTTAACATCAGAAGGAAAATGAAAAAATGCTTTATTTGAATAACCAACTTGCTGAATATTAGAATAATACTTATTTAAACAATTAGGAGCTGAACAAGAATACTTAACTATACCCGGGCCAGACATTTTTGTTTCAAATATTAGAAAAGGAATTGTTCAAATATAAAATTAGATACCTATATATCGTTAAGGCTAAGAAAACAATGATAAACAAAGCCCTTAAATACTTAATATTAAATTAAAGTTAATACTTACTAATTACATCAAATCAGCAGTTTGTTTCTTAACCTAAAAATAACTTACCTACCTATGTAACTTACATCATAAAATAAAAATAAGTTTTATTTTATCATCATATCCCGCCTTCCGCCATCACGTTTTTCATTTTTTACAAGGTTGTCAATCCCGTCTTTTAAAAATCTCAGAAATAGTATGGACATTGTATGGATGGTATGGTGCGCATGTAGATTGATAAAAAATTAAAATAAAATGAATTTGAAATAACTATAATCTCATGAAAGTTTACGGAAACCGGCAACATCGCTTTCATACTATTGCGATGGTGGCGCTAACTAATAGTATGCTGGGAACTACGCCGTGTTGACAGTGGCGGGCATTTAATAAATTCATCTTGTTTTATATTAATTTATCTATGAGTTCAACAAGTTTTCATAATACCCATAATCTCCCTGTGTTGTGCAAGCACCTTTCTACTTGGTAGCATGAAATAATAAGTACACAATTTAGCTTTATTTTCCTAATTTTTATTATTCCACACCATAAAAAGAAGACTTTCGAAAAATGGCCCTTAAAGGTTTAAAAGTAATTGAATTTTCTGGTTTATTACCCGTTCCGTTCTGTGGAATGGTCTTAGCTGATTTTGGAGCTAATGTAATTCGTATCGATAAAGTAGGTTAATTATTTTATTAAAATACATATCTATTACAAAAAGTTCAAATTTAAATTAATATTTAGTTATTAAAATGTTATTTGTTATTATATATATCAGTAATATTAATCGTGTAGTTTAGATGGCTTATAATTCTCATTTTTTATCCTATGTGTCTTAAATGATATATTTTTTAAATATTTTAATGATACATTTGATTAAACGTAATATATTATCTAACAACTCACTATGTAATTTATTAACGAATAACTCTTTTAGGTTGATTTTGATACCAATCTTGACTGCTTAGGAAATGGAAAAAAGTCAATTAGTCTTAATTTAAAGCACCCTCGAGCTATTGACATAGTTAAATCAATATCTCGCCAATCGGATATACTTATAGAACCATTTCGAAAAGGAGTTATGGAGAAATTGGGCTTGGGACCTGACGTATTAATGAAAGAAAATCCCAAATTGATATATGCTAGGCTCACAGGTTATGGTCATAAAGGATACTTTAGTAAAAATGCTGGGCATGATATAAATTATGTTGCCTTATCTGGTCTATTATCATTATTTGGAAGGTAACAAATATGTTATATCTGTTCGTACTGTCATTGTTCTCAAACAAAGACCATTTATAATACTAATTATTGTTCAATCTTTAAAGCAAATGATTAAAATAGGATACCAAAGCTACACTAGTAGTAATTACGGATCTTTTAAACTTTATATCTATTTCTACACCAAAATGATTGAAAAAGTCATAAAAAAACTATTTGATTCATTATCTAGAAAGTCACAAATTGCTTGAAACAACCATTTGGTTAAGAACACTTCTGATGCAATATTTTCTTATTTTACATCTTCATAATTTTTAGAGAAGGTGAAAACCCAAACCCTCCTGTTAATGTCTTGGCTGACATTGGAGGTGGCGGTCTAACGTGCGCAATGGGTATATTACTAGCCATAATAGAAAGATTCAAGTCTGGAAAGGGTCAAATAGTCGATACCACAATGGTGGAAGGTACAGCATATTTAGGAACTTGGATGTACAGAGGACAAAAAACTTTACCGATATGGGGTAACGAACGAGGAAAAAATATACTGGATACTGGAACACACTTTTACGAGGTATATAAAACTAAAGACGAAAAATACATGTCAGTAGGAGCCATAGAACCACAATTTTATGAAAAATTACTTAACGGTAGATGTTAAAAATAACACTTTTAGGAATATATTTTTTTATTACTGTAAATTTCAGGTTTAAATTTAACAATCGAAGAAGCTCCACAATTCGGTGATTTCAGCGCACTAAAGAAATTATTTGCAAAAAAGTTTGCAGAAAAAACCAGAGACGAATGGTGCAAGATTTTCGATTCTACAGATGCTTGTGTGGCGCCGATTTTAACACTAGACGAAGCTCCCTTACATCCACATAATAAAGATCAAAATACGTTTTTAAAAACGGAAAACTGTTACAGTCCTAATCCTCATCCTAGACTTAGTAGGACACCAGGAGAAACACAAGCTAATAAATGTTTGCCGAAAACTGGGGAACATACTAAAGAAATTTTAATTGATATTGGTTATTCTTCGAAAAATGTAGATGAATTGGAAGATGAAGGTGTAATTCATTGTTATAAATTTTCTAAACTATAATGCTATACATGTTTAATCTTTTTTTTTTTATATATTGTTTATACTTTTGTTTATTATATTATAATAAAATAATTTATAATTAAATTATCTTCTTAGTTTTGTTGAAGCATTATTTTTATTAATTTTGAACAATTGTTTGTTTGTTTTTAAAAAACTATATAAATATACTCATTCACTATACTAGTTATACTCTTTTAGTCCTTAGGGGTAGAAATGTAGAGACTTCACAAATGCTCGTAATATTTCATGTTTTTGGAAGGGGAAATAAAAGTGAGTGGCAAAAGGTTGGGACATAGCTTAACTTTGGGCTTGGTTAGGACATTATTTAGAAAATAGAAGGTTAAAGCAATGGTGTTTCAAATATAATAAAGATTAATATAGTGATTCCACAAGGTAGTGTTTTGGGTCCACTACTGTTTTTAATTTAACTAACTAATAATCAGGATTCGGAGAATGTATATCATGACATTTATACCTTGATATTTATCCGATAATTTTATTTATTAAATTAAAAATCTGATGTGTCCAACACATGACTTTCCTATCTAGTTATTATAGGCTTTTTCCTGTAATTTTGTACAACCTATTGCAGCATCTCTATAAATGTTTAGAGGATAAACTAAATATATACATTGTCCACATACATCTACCTCGAAACATTTTTCTATAGATATTCATGGAAAACGAAAATACTGAAAAATTTAAATTTCCTACAATTTTTTCATTACGGTCCATTTTATAAAAATCATGTATAAACAAAACTTATAGAGATCGATATCGCAAACAACTTTTATTTCAAAAACTTTCATAAAAATCAGAATTTTGCACATTTTGTCAAATTTCTCGAATACGGACCATTTCAGGAAATTTTTACATAAAACAAAAATTATAGATAATAATATTAGAAGTAACTTTTATTTGAACAATTTTTTTCTCCAAACATTAATAACAGATATATTCCATAAAATATATAAGTGGCCTCCCATAAAGTACCCCCCAGATGTTCCGACTGTGTCCAAAATCTAATCATTTCACGTCAGGCCGAAATAAACCTTAAGTTTAAAATTTAATGTTTTTTTCTTTATCCGTTTTTGAGTTTTCTTCAAAATTCGAAATTTACACATTTTCTCAAATATCTCGAATACGGTCCATTTTAGAGAAATTATGTATAGAATAAAAATTAAAGAGAATTATATAACAAACAACTTTTATTTGAACAATTTTTATAAAAAATTATTTTTTTTACATTTTGTCAAATTTCTCGAATACGGACCATTTTAGGAAAATTTTGCATAAAACGAAAATTATAGATAATTATATTAGAAGTAACTTTTATTTGAAGAATTTTCTTCTCCAAACGTAAATAACAGATATATTCCATAAAATATAAAAATGACCACCTATAAAGTACCCCCCCCAGATGTTCCGACTCTGCCCAAAATCTAATCAGCTCATTGGACGCTGAAACAAAGCTTAAGTTTAAAATTTGGTGTTTTTCTGTGTATCGGTTCATGAGTTATGCGTTATACAGACACACACACACATACATCATCGCGAAAATAGTCAAAACGGATTCAGGTGACCTCAAAACGTAAAAATCCGTCGAAAACTCGAGGTCGAAAAAAATGATTCCTATACTTTCCTTATATCTGTATACAGATAGGAAAGTAAAAATGTTTTCCACCATTCTAAACATCTAAAATCAATGCGTCCCTGTATAAAAGTATAATAACTAGCGATTTATTCGGCTGTTGTGCAAGCATCGCCGCGCCGACTTTGGGGTTCCCAGCTTCGCCACTATTTGTTTTTGCTGTGTATGTAATGTATCAAAATATAGACAAAAAGAAAACGAACCTTGACTGGTCATGGAAAACAGCCTTATCTAAAGATTCTGAAGTTATTGTCACTAATAGGAATCACATTATTGATATTTATAATAAATAATAATGTTTTTTTCATAAAAGGAATACAATAAAATAATAAAAAAAAATGTGAACAATTTATAATAACAGAGTGACTTACACCTTGTACGTGATATACGAATATGCTCATACATTAGACGATAACAGGTAAGTTACATGCATTTTATGATCAAATAATGTCACAATAGGGATTTCGTTTATGGATTAAATATTTATTTTATAATAATATTAATAACAACAATAATAATAAGAAAAAAGTTTTTGATTATTTTAAATATACTCCTTGTTTTAAACATGATTTACAATGTTGTGGAAAAAGTCTCTATTTTTTAATTTCATCCATATTTTTATTTTTTCTTTAAAATAGCCTAATTTAGATATATTTTGTAGATCAAATGGGGTCTGACTAAAGAGTTTTGGGCCCAAGTAGTCAAAACAGCGCTGACCTATAGTTTTCTCTCGCTTTGGTTTTTTTGAATACTCTGTCGCGGTGAGAACAGCGATTTTTGCCCGAGCCCAGACAACACACCAAATCCCAGAGATATCCACAGAATATCTTTTGTGGATAGACATGCAAATGTCCATAAATAATAGTAATTATATAGCAAATTATTAAAAAATTAGGCCATTGTGGCTAATAGTACCGTTCAGATATTTAAAATTATTTTTTTTTTAAGGTGTATTCAATATTCCATGGACATCCACTAAATATATCAAAGTCTAGGCGCGAACGTAAACCATCGTGGATATCCACTAGATGTAATTTTTGATTTTGCTTACTAAGTATAGATGGCGATACCACTTTCGCATCTACTCATGCTCAACCCGCCGTAATTGATTTCGATCGAAATTTGTTACACAATCAGACTCCATTAGAGACTGGAGTCGAGAATTTCTATTTATTGCTGAAGAGTCCTAATAAGGATGACTTTCTCCTTAGTGGACAAAATGGCAAAATCAAAGGCAGTGTTGAAATTGAAAATATTTTTTATTTCTGCTATTTTCTTTCGACGTTATTCAATAATCATTGGTTTTACTTATGAACCTATACTAGATACCCATAAAATATTTTGCTGAATATCCGAATTCTTCTATATCCTGGGATATAGATGGACATTTGCTTGGATATCCACAAAATATATTCTGTGGATATCTCTGGGATTTCTTGTATTGTCTGGAAGATACCCATTATAGATATTTTGCTGGATATCTTCTATATTCTGGATATAGACGGACATTTGGATATACACTAGATCCACGGAATATTATTTCTGATATCCTGTGGATATTTTGGATATCCACAAAAGATATTTTGTGGATATCTCTGGGATTTGGTGTGTTGTCTGGGAAAAAGCCTCTTTTTAAATATTTTTTCAAAAATTTTATTTATTGTTGAAGTTAGTGTTATTGGACGATAATTACCTGTTTTTGTTTTTTCTCCTCCTTTAAATATAGGCTAAATTAATCCTGTTTTTAGTGATGTGGGAAAAATACCAGAATTAAAAGATCTATTAATTATGTACGTTAAGGGTACCGAGATTTCCTTTAAAGTCTTAGCTCTAATGTTATCAATTCCTGGCGATTTCTTATTTTTTAAAGACCTTATAGTTTTTTCAACTTCTTCATCATTTGTTGGGAATAAATACATTGTTCTACCGAGATGTTCTATATTTTCGACATAATTTACCCAGATCACTAAAAAAAGTTATTAAATTCATTGGCTATTTCTGTTTTGTTATGTATTATTTTTTCATTACTCTTAATAATTTTTTGTATTTTATTTTCAGGGTGA